GGGGGGGGCTTTTTCAAGCGAAGGGTGAGAAAAAAAGGGAAAAGGGAGGGGGAGAAGGGAAAAAGAAAAGGCATTGACTTCTGACTTCCTCTCTTGCAGTAGAAGGAAGCATTAACATTAAACCTCAACTTTTTACTTTTCCATAATATTGTAAACTAGCCATTTCTATAACAACAAATGAATCTAACCAGTAAAGCCCAAACCCCCCTTTTTAGTCAAGTTTTTGACACCTTGCTAAGCACTGGTGGTTCTCGAATATTGTCATGTCCTAAAAATGGTACAATCTCTGAAAAAATTGAAAAGCCCTGCTATAGAAGATATGAGATACTTCACCATAATATAAAATAATTGACTAAAGTAATAAAATGTTCATGCATTTCTAACACTTTTGTTTCAATAAATATGTCACTCTGTATTTCATAAGTAAATAAAAACTGAAAATAAAAAAATTAATTGATTCCTACAATTAATTAATTGTAATCCTATGTACCACTCCTGCTTTATCTGTAGAATCATGTGAAATTTTAAATATTTATTTGGCCTATGAACAATTCCTGTCAGACTAAAATAAACTGAAGATTGAGGAAAATAGGTATATTTAAGAATATGCAGTGAAGTTATTAATGATAGCCTTTTCCTCCGTGAAATTGGAATAATCTTTTAAGCCATTCAAGTTGGAGATTCTTGCTGAAGCAAATATTACAGATTGGACGTATTTTGTATGAAATTCTTGTTTTTCTTTATTCAGCTTCAGTGGATAGTCAAAGTTCTAATACTGTGAAAACAAAAACAAATTTTTATTTACTCCTTACCATATGTAATTCTATCCACCTTTTTTATGCAGTTCTCATTCAAGATGATCAGAAATCAAAGCTGTGAGATTTGCAGCACACCAACACTTAAAGTTGGGTGTCCAACCTTGGCAACTTTGACCTGTGGACGACAACTGTTAGAATTGCTGGATGGGGAATTCTGGGAGTTCACAAGTTTTAAAGTTTTCAAGGTTGAACATATCTGATTTAAAGGATCTGTTTCTGCCTGTTCTGCACTATGTGAATACAGTATACCATGGATGAAGTTGCCATTTCAAGTACTTACACTTACCTAGAAAAAAGTTTCACTGAACACAATAAAATTTACTTTTGAGAAGATTTCTATAGAATTGAACAGTAAATATCTTTGAATTAAATATAACTGATTTCTAAGAAAAGATTCTTGGGAACCTTTTCCCCCTCTTTTTCTTAAAAATGTTATTTTATCCTGCAGTTTCTAATATTTTCTCCTTGCATCACAGGTATAATTTGGTGGCTGATACATTAAGCAAAATGGCTAAAGTTAACACTTACCATTCCCACCCTGCTGCCCATAGATCTTCTGGGAAGACTTTTAGTGATGGCCCTGGTAGACTTGAAAATGGAATTAAGAGGTAACGGATTCAACTCATCACCATCACCACCATCATATGAAAAGTTTCATGATTGTTCATTGCCCAAATGTCACTTGTTTGACATGGGTGGCTATAATAATTAAATAGATGAATAAATAAGTAAATAAATATTTTTTCTTTAAGGAGGAGAGAGGAATTTTATGAAAATGGGAAGGCAAAGAATGCAAAAAAATTTCCATTCTTAAAACATATATCTATAAATACAGTTTGCCGACCACTGAAACTTAAATATGTCATTGATAATGCAATCTTATTATTTACTTTCTCAGAAGCAACCCCCATGAAGTTCTGTCTTTCTTCTACATATGTAGGCAACAGTCAATTTTCCTTTTTATTATCAACAGGAATTATAGGAGGTTAACTTTGAGAAGATTGTTCCCATTTACTTCTATGTCTATCTCCTTATTTAGAAGACCAGAGATTGTGTTTTCCAACCAGGTGGTCTTTTCAAGTAGTCACTTGATGGAACTGTTTTATTGGAAAGAATTAGAAATATTAGCAGGCCTTTCCTTATGCAGAAAAGCAGCTAGATAGTTAAAGAACACCCTTCTTCCCTACCAAATTATAAAGCTATCCATTCATCTGTGAACTTGCAGAAAATCATACCAGCATAACATTTGTCATCATCATTGTCACTAACCCTACATTGTCTCTGTTCTGTCATTGCTAATCTCTGATCTCCTTCCAAAGTAATGAAAAGGTTATGTTTAACAGATTTGGCACATCTTGAAGCTGCCCTTGGAAAAAAAGGAAAAAAAGGGGGAAAACATTGATTTCGTTAAGCTTGTCTCATTCATAGAGTGGGCATGAGATAAAAGCAATGTCATGGAGGTAAATGCAGAGAAAAGGTATTTTATGTACATGAAAACAGAAGGCAATGGTAATGGCCATCAACTTAACTCTTTTCATGCTCTCTGTGGCTGCCATGGTGAGAACTACTAAAGCTATCATTTGGAAGTGATGACAGTGAAGATTTAAAGAATATTTATTGAATGTCAGAATAAATATGATTGTTGCTACTTCTCTCAAAAAAAATTCTAATTTTGTTCCATTTTTTCAATTATATACTATTTACTACTTAAACATACATCTATACATATGTAACTATCATGCTATCATGCTAGGTGATTCTCTTCCTTCTTCTGGGGCTAGGTCTAATCAATTTTGATGGGGTAGACATATCTGGGATTACCCAAGTTTGTAGAGGTGGGCCTTAGGGCTCAAAGTTCTCCCTGCCCCTATTTAACATCTATATGAAGCTACTGGATGAGGTTATCTGGGAACATGGGGTTAAATATTATCAATAGTATATCAATAGTATGATAGTTAATATCCAATTATATAGAGGTAGTTGTCAACTTAAAACCATTCATTTAGTGACTCACTGAAGTTACAATGGCACTGGAAATAAGTGACATGATAGGACCTTGTGCTTACAACTGTCACTGTATCCCCATGGTCATGTGATCAAAATTTGGTGCCTTGGCAACCTGCATGCATTTATGATGGTTGCAGCACCTTGAATTTATCTGTTCTCCATCTGTGACCTTCCCAGATGACTTCCAACAAGCAAAGTCGATTGGAGAAGCTGGATTCGCTTAACGACCATGGGGTTCACTTATTAACTGAAATGATTCACTTAACAATTGTGACAAAAAAGGTCACAAAGCTGGGTGCAACTCGCTTAACAACTGTCTTGTTTAGCAACAAAAAATCTGGTCTTACTTGGAGGGTTCATCCCTCTTAAACTAAAATCTTTATATTTCTTTAACCATATTCAAACAGATGTTTAATTTTTAAATATTCCCTCTGATACATCCCATCATCTAATTTCTTAATTCTCACTTTAGCCTTTTTCTTTTGCCAAACATCTTTCCTAATCAATATATTCCATTGAATAAAAGAGTCTTTCCATAGTCTTGTAGATGTTGTTGTAGATATAAAAGGCAAATCAAGTAAAATGTCTTTGTGGAAAGATTTTGCCCCTTCGTGTTCATTGAAGATCTTTTCCTTACCTTCTCTCTTGGTTTCTCTTATCACATTTTGTTTCTCCGATTCTTGTGGTATTCTTGACAGCTCTGCGATCCATTTTGTCAGATCTTTTTTCTTATCCTCAGATTTATTTTTTAATCTTAGAGTATAAGTTATCTTTTCTATGTCCAATATTTCTTGTGAGTTCTTTCCCACTTGGATTAAGTCATACTTCCTTGTGTTATTAAGTTCCATCTTTAAATCTCTTTCCTCTAATTTATGTTCAATTGTCTGCTTTATCTCCTGCCTCTCTATTATTGTTTTCTGAGATTTTTTTTGTAAGTTAACTTGGAGATGGATTCATTTATATTTTCAAAGTTATTTTTAATTTCCTCATGGTTAAGATCATTGTTGTTTGAATTAGTTGCAACATCTCATACATCTCCTCCTGGAAAGAATTTGTTTTTTCTTGACATATTCTTTCTGCAGATCTCTGATTTTTCATGATAGCCAAAAATCAGGGTTTTCTTTTCTCTGCAAACAGCTTTAGAGTCACAGTTAGGTAAATGTTTGTAATCCAGAAAGGTCAGTTTTTTTCTAAAGTTTATAGTTCTCATTTTATATATAGCCCAGAGTGTTTTCTTTTTTTTGTCACAGCTGTTCTCTATTATTAGAACTTTGAAGGTCACAAAAACAGATTGACTTTTCTTGGGCCTTGCCAATTCCTGTATTAGAGCAACTGTTGTTGTAATTTTCATCCAGCACTAGATGTCAGCACCAGTTCATTTTTTAGTTTTCAAAGTAAACAGTTATCTTCTATTTTCATAATTTAAATTGAAAATCTTAACAGATTTCTCCCATTTCAGACTTATCCAAATTTAAGTCTTGTATTCATTTCATTTCAAAATATTTCTATTCCCCATAAAATGTTTAATTCGCTGCTTCCATCTATAGGAGGGCAGAGTGAAGGTCCCCCTCCTCACTTTCGGAGGTTTTTTTTTCTTCTTCTTAAGGTTTTTTTTCCAGGAAATTAGTTAATAAGTAAAATAGAGAAAATTGATGTTCTTACTCAGGTCCAAATACGTTGTTTACAATCAGCTTACAATAGTGCTTTTGGGCTTCGGTTGCTTGTAGCTTGGGCTAGACTCTGAGGTTAGGCTAGCCTTTCTCCTGTTGGTTTCTGGAAGGCTTTTCCTGGACCAATCGGGTCAACCATCATCTATCCTTGGTCCACGGGATTTTTTTCCTTCTTTGCCGCCTCTTCGGGCAACTTCTGGACCATTTAGGGTCCCCTAACAGGAAGAAAATCAGCCATAGGGTACAGAGCCCCACAATCCCTCAGCTGCTGAACTACTGTGCAAAATAGCAAGCCATTAAGGAATCTTATCTCCTTCTCAAGAAAGAAAAACTCAGTGGATTTTTAGTTTTTAGAAAATGGGTTTTGTATGAATGCTGTTTCAGAGTTGGAACATATACATTTCTATGCACCATTAGCTTTGTCCACATACAAAGCGATTCAACATTGAATAAAACAATGTATTAACCCTAATGTTTTCATATAGTAAATCCATTCTCCATTTAATGTGGGCATGTACACTTTTATGTGTAATTGTACCAAAGTTGTTTTTGTTGAAGATACCAAAATAATAAAGGCCTAGCATTTATCTAATTAAGCTTTTCTTCTACTACTACTAGGCATAACCAAGTAAAGAACCTTTTCTAGAGGCCTTGACTCATAATCTACCACAATTTTGAAATGTCAACAAGATAGTAGTCTATTGAAGAAAAGAGATAATCTGAGTAGATATGCTCTTAAAGTTTGTTTTTCATTTCAAATACATACTCACCCCCCCACACACACCCATTGACCAATCTTATTTCAATAAAAAGGACAAGTGTAACCCTAAATATGTATGACACACAGGGTTATAAAAGTACCACATAAAAGCAGATTTCAATTCACTCAATGGCTTTTCAGTCACTGAAATGAAATGTAATCATTTGGACTGAGGAATGCATAAGAGGAAACCAGAATATAAAGCTAAGTAGGCAGAAAAAAATGATATGGGAAAGCTGGAAATATTTGACACTTTATATGTTAAACTGTTCCATATTCCCACTTACTTTGCTCTCACAATAAACTATGAGGAAAGAAACCTCCATTACTGTATTATAGATGGTGAATCTGATTTAAGAAGAGGATAAATTGAAACAACTGAAAATATTGTAAAAGGAATGCCTGTTTCAATGTATATTTGAAACATATTTAACTTATTATATAAATGTCTGATATAAATTTCACTTGGAAGCACAACATTTCCTTTCCTTCCTGCACCTTAGAGTGGATCATAGCATCTGTTGAGGTATTTAGTTCTTGTTGAATTTCCTTCGTTGTTCTTTTCTACTGTGATCATCTGAAATGGAACAAGTGAAAAATCAGACAAACACAAACATTGTGATGTTTTACCGGAAAGGCTTTCATAGGTGCTGAAAAATACTGAACTAGGGCAAAAATGGTTAAGATATTGTCTATCATCCCTCAGTGTATATTATGACAGCAATACAGTAGTGATTGATCAAGGAATGTATATTCTTTCACAAGTGCCTGATTGGAAAGGCTTGAAGCAAGCACACTTTGAAAAGTTAATTAAATGTCTTTTTGCTTGATTCTGAAGAATCCCCTCCCCGGATGAGGATAGATCTTCAAAATTAGAGAGTGTCATTTCCATGGCAGAAGAAGGAGGGGACACATCCACAGAAGGAGCAACGAACAGGTAAGCTTCATTTATACTATGTCTGGATAGTGGCCTTGTTTGGAAGCAAATGAATGAAATAAAGATATATAAGAGTATTGTTAATGCAATGAATTTTGTCTGCATGAAGCCATTAATAAAAGGGATGAACTGAAGAATAAGTTAATCTTGATTTATATTAAGTCAGTCTGGACCAGTGTTTTTCACCTTTGGGAACTTTAATATGTGTGTTGACTAGGGAATTCTGGGAGATCATGGCCATGCATCCTACAGTTCCCAAGGCTGAGAAACACTGGTCTAGTGTGTGAGTATGATGGATGATGAGTTGCAGCAGGGAAGTGTGTTATCTGGCTCAACTGAAGAACATAGAGTGATAGAGTAATTTATGTATTACTGGGAGAACTTTCTTTAGCTTTTCATCAGAGCTAGAAGATCATACGTGACATTAAGGATGATCAAACTCCCATTAACCAAACTTTCTAGGAGGTGATGAGTCATGATCATGAGAATGATCAAAACGTAATGAATCTTGTCTCATTGCTGAATAAAGTGTGGTTGGGTGAAGCTTCACTAACTTCCGACAGAGCACAATATTTTCAACACTTTGTGTATTGTGGTAAAAGTACTGTATATCTGGGTACAGATTTGCTGCTTTTAAAATACAATAGTGATAACATTTCTTTGGAAAATTACAGAAACAGTAACCTCTTATCAGGTTTTATCAGTTTTCTTTACACCAAACATTATTTGGACAAAAGTGAAATGTTCAGCTTGGAGAAGAATTCCTTCTAAGACATTTAAGCTCACTGGAAGTTTTTTATTATTGTTTTTTAAATAAGTGAGTGTTACCAAATGATGCAAGCATATTGGAAGAACTGATTTGTCTCTGCATTAAGATAAAGATCAGAGATCACAGAAGCTTTTTTATTGTCCTGTCTGAAATGTGCAAAGTTTCTGCCTATTAGTACATGCACATTCAATGCATGAAAAGAATATATCAAGTAGAAATCTTTCTACATGCATCACCAGTCCAGTTTACGGATTTGTTCCAACTTCCACCATTCACCTCTGCTCTTGGCTGGGGTGATTGCCCCTTGACACATTTGGAGGTCACCAGGCTGGGAAAGCCAATCTAGTTGTTAATGCTAGATAGCAAATGATCAAGGTTCAGTTGTTAGATTGCAAATGGCCAAGATGAAGTTGTTAATCTTGGCCCTTTGCATTGCTGTTCCCATTTTTCTTTTAGGTCCTCAGGGTTTTTCTTATCGGTGAGAACCTGGTTCAGAAAGCACTTACGTCGAGATGGCCAAAGATCTGATTCTTCAGTTGAGGCTCAAGGGGGAGAAAACAAAGACGACAAAACTAAGCCAAAGAAGGATGGGAAAGATGAACAGAAAAAGTAAGAGGATGCTGCTTGAATGGAAATATTTACACTTTTCAGGGGGCTAACCTGCAGAAAAAGGAATAGACTTGTTTCTAGAAGAGTCAAATTTAGTTAAGATATTCAATATATAAACCATTTCTTTACATGGCATATTCACGCATAGAATTGAATACTAGCTGTTGACTTATTGTGTTAGAATAGGAGCAATATTCTATTGTCCTAAATCAGCCTAGTAACCACTCCCTGTTCTCTTGGTTTTTATGCTAAGTGCTGAAAAAAAAACACAAATTTTCATAATTGATGATCTGTTCAGAAAATTACTGGTTGATTAATCACAGAAATCAGCTTTCTTAAGTTAATTTATGACTAATGGGGAAATAATGAATCTTAGTTTGGATGAAAGTCTCTAAGTTGTGCAAGTTCCCATTTCATGTTATCATTCATATTTTCCATGTGCTGGCTTAGTTGCTGTAGGTGGGTTGGTTGGCTGTGTGGGAGTTATTGTTTGCGGATTGTTCGGCTGTTTCATAACATCCTGAGTAGTTGAGGTGCTGGCTATGTTCCCATTAGTCTTTTGTGTTATAACGACCTGGGTAATGGGTTGTGTGATTACATCCTGAGATCTAGTGTAGTGATATCCTGAGTTTTGTGTTGCAACATCCTGGGTGGTTGGCTATGTTGTAACATCCTGAGCTTTAGCGTTGTAACCTCCTGGGTTCTGTGATGTGATGTCCAGAGCATACATTGGACAAACTAATAGGAGAATAAATGCCTGCATCGCAGAACACAAGAACGCAGTCAGGAAAGAAGAAAAAACTTCCTCCCTCTTCCAGCACCTTAAAGCTACAGGACATGAAATTGATTTTGAAGGAACCAAACTAATCTCCAAAACTGAACACCACAACAAGAGAATAATTATGGAAGCCATCGAAATAGAAAAACACCCCCACAACATGAATAAACGTGACGATACCTCCCGCCTACCAGATATCTGGAAACTAGCCCTAATCAACAAACAAGTCCTAGCCACGAAAACTGACACCAGACCCAGAACAACACAGTACGCCACCACCATTCACCCTCACCAGACCCAAACCCAAGCCCAAACCCATCCCTCAGACGAAATGCAACCACCATCCAGAAGCCAAAACACGACGACATCACCAGCTGCTGCACCTCCCTCCAACCCCTACACAAAGCAAATGGACACACGCCATGAACACAGAGCTAGACTGCAAACCTGGAGCCAAACCAAAGCCCGGTATGCTACATCACAGCCTTCTGCTCTGGACATCACATCATAGAACTCAGGAGGTTACAACGCTAAAGCTCAGGATGTTACAACACAGCCAACCACCCAGGATGTTGCAACACAAAACTCAGGATATCACTACACTAGATCTCAGGATGTAATCACGCAACCCATTACCAAGGTCGTTATAACACAAAAGACTAATGGGCACATAGCCAGCACCTCAATTACTCAGGATGTTATGAAACAGCCAAACAATCCGCAAACAATAACTCCCACACAGCCAACCAACCCACCTACAGCAACTAAGCCAGCACTCCACACACCCTCACCAATATTTATAGAGAGACGGCAGCTCCGATCACACTTTGCTCGCACAAGCACAAAGCCGAAGACCCCAGCCTGAAGATGACGAGTGGGACCTCGTCGAAACATCGCCAAGATACTCTCAATCTTACACGGGAAAAGACCCGAATACGCCAAGACCTGCATACCTGTACCCGTGAAAATCTACGAAAACAAATATACATATATATATATATATATATATATATATATATATATATATATATATATATATATATATATATATATATATATATATATATATATATATATATAAACACCCATTACATACACACACACACACACACACACACACACACACACACATATATATATATATATATATATATATATATATATATATATATATATTAAAACAGTGAGAAAACACGAGCACCAGGGAATATGATAA